ATTGAGCTGCTTCCAATTCTCCCAGAACATTGAATTTTGTGACCAGCCTCCAGAGATCCTGTTCTACACCAGACCAGTGGAGCTGAACTGCAACCTATCATCATCCTCATCTGCTTGTAAGTAGGCAATCTAGTATATTATTAATGACACTAATCTATAATTTACCTCACATTAAAGGGACACTATAGCTTAATGAAGTGGTTCTGGTGTCTATAGCTGGTCCCTGCAGGCTTTTTAATGTAAACACACACTGTGTGCAGCACTGGCGTTAGTTCATATGGCAGATCATATGGGTGGGGCATTGTGATGTGACATGTGGGGGCAGCAAATTTTATTTTGTCTAGGGCGGCAAAAATCCTTGCACCGGCTCTGATCCTGGGCAGGTGCACCAGTCTACTTGACTGGTTTTGCCCCCCAGGCCTAAGGCTGCCAGCCCTCCCCTGGCCACTGGGGAGGTCTTTTGGCGGCCGCTGGCGGACTTGTCATATTCCGTCGCCAGTCTCATTCAGCAGCGCGCGAGGGCGGGAGGGCACTAACACAGGAAGCACCTCTAGTGACCGTCTGAGTGACTGTCACTAGCAGTGTCACTTTGAAGCAATGTAAACACTGCCTTTTGTCTGAAAAGTCAGTGTTTACGTTGAAAAGCCTGTAGGGACATGCTATAGACACCAGTACCACCACATTAAGCTGTGTGTGTGTGCCTGCTAGTGAGTGAGCTTGCTTGCATGTGTGTGCCTGCCAGTGAGTGAGCTTGTGTTTTTATGTCAATGAGCTGATGTATATCAATAAGATTGTTTGTCTATGAGGCTGTGTATCAATGAGCTTGTGTGTGTCACTGAAATGTCAGTGAAATTGCCTGTGTCTGCATGTGCGTATGCTTACTGTATAAATAAACGTTTTACCCTGAAAAGACCAATATTTTATATTAGAAAAAGCAATATATATATATATATATATATATATATATATATATATTACTCAATCATCTGTCCTGGCAAGACATAGCCTTACATATTACACGCGACAATATATGGCGCAGTGGCTTATGGGGCTGGCACAAATTTTTTTTCCAGGGCTGCTTTGTATCCCCAGTCCGGCCCTGTCCCCGCGGCACGCCTATGGAGTGAGACCGGCAGGGGAGATCTCAGGATCTCCCCTGTCGGCTCATGTAGAGCCGGTGCTATCCGAGCGCCGGCTCTGCTCTCAGCCTCCCTCCCCACCGACCCACAGCAGCATGGAGGGACCCGCCGGGTTCCTCTCGGGAGATCTGAGCATTGCTGCGGCAATGCTCAGATCTCGCGAGAGTGAACTCTAGCCCCGCAGGCTGGAGTTCACTCTCCACTGGACCACCAGGGATGGCAGAAAGGATCCTCCCTACAATAGGTGAGAAGAGAGGGGGGATATTAAGTAATCTGCCCCCACCTCCAATGGACCACCAGGGAAGGCAGCAAGGAACAAGAATCCCCCTACATCCCTACATAAAGTTAGGTACCCCACACACATACAGCACCCACAGACATACACAGCACCTACACACATACAGCACCCACACACATACAGCACCCACACACCTACAGCACCCACAGACATACACAGCACCTACACACATACAGCACCCACAGACATACACAGCACCTACACACATACAGCACCTACACACATACAGCACCTACACACATAAAGCACCCACACACATAAACAGCACCTACACACATACATCACCCACAGACATACACAGCACCTACACACATGCAGCACCAACACACATACAGCACCCGCAGACATACACAGCACCTACACACATACAGCACCTACACACATAAAGCACCCACAGACATACACGGCATCTACACACATACAGCACCCACGGACATACACAGCACCTACACACATACACAGCACCTTCACACATACAGCACCCACAGACATACACAACACCTACACACATACAGCACCCACACACATACACAGCACCAACACACATACAGCACCCACACACACATACAGCACCCACACACACAGCACCCTCACAAACAGCACCCTCACAAACACACACAGCACCCTTACACACAGCACACAAACAGCACCTTCATACACAGCACACAAACAGCACCCTCACACACACACAGCACACTAACAGTACCCTCACAAACACAAACAGGACCATAACAAACACACACACAGCACACTACCAGTACCCTCACACACAGTACATTAACAGCACCCTCACAAGCGAACACACACACACAAACAGTACCCTCACACACAGTACATTAACAGCACCCTCACAAGCGCGCACACACAAACACCCTCACCCACATAGCACACTACCAGCACCCTCACACACACACATCACACTAACAGCACCCTCACCCAGCACACACATACACAGCAGTGTATGTGTGTGTGTGTATATATGTGTATATATATGTATATACATACATACATATATATACGTGGCGTGTGCTTGTGCTTTAGGGTGCACACCATAATGCAATAGGCTGCACATGCCTATGTCCGGCACCCTCCTCCAGGGAAGAGGAAGACTACCATCCGGCTCTGAAGACGAATGGAGGGCAGATGAAGGAATGGTGTTGAGTGAGGCCTGAAGGCCACACAGGACAAACTACTTGATCTCCTGGGACCTTTTGCGAAGATCCTATATTTTGCCGATGAGGCTTTGACCCACGACTCGCAGCTGGACCCCCACTCCATACGTGAATGGGCTTAAGGATGCATGTGCCTCCTCAACAATACCAATGCAGCGATCTGCACTGAGAGATGTAGAGCTGCGCTAGTACGCATGGATTCTAAGCTCATGAACATGGCAACCAAAGAACTGGGAGCTTCGGCCAACGGCCTTCCGTTTGGTGATGCCTTTATAGCGGAACTAAAGAAACACGTGTCTCTCTTTACGACACTCAACAAGGCCCAGACATCACTGCAGCAGGTATTCCGCACACCAACACCCCGTGGGGGTTTTGGAAGGGTTGGTAGGCAGAGAGGCCGTGCCACCATCTGATTTTGGTCTTCCGGACCCAGGCCCAACCCTCCATCTACATCATTCTACCCAAGTTCTGCCTACCGACAACCCACACACGATAGAGGGGCGACCAGATCCAGAGGCTCTCGCGGACGTGGACGTGGTCACTTCCCTTCAGGTAGGTCCCACTTCATGTTACCCTTACATGACCTTAACTGCAGGGAGATTATCTATTTTCTTCCAGAAATGGAAGGACATTTCGACGGATTCCTGGGTACTCCAAACGGTTTGGGGTTACAACATCGAATTTTCTGCAACTCCCACGCAACTACATACACCATAACCCCTTCGGGTGTCCACGGCCCATCAGCTCATCATAGACGAAGAGATACAGTCACTTTTCGCCAAAGGAGCAATCCAAGGGGCTCCCAGCGAGGGTATCTTTATCAGCAACATCTTCCTGGTGCAGAAAAAGACGGGCGAATTTCGACCAGTCATCAACCTTCGACAGTTTAATACCTTCGTTGTCTACCGACACTTCAGGATGGAAGGCATCCACCTGTTACAAGATCTCCTTTTGAAGGAAGACTGTTTCACATGATTAGACCTAAAGGACGCCTACCTGTCGGTCCCGATTGCACCGCACTGCCGAAGATTTCTAAGTTTCCGCTGGGGAAACGCCACCTACCATTTCACCTGTCTACCATTCGGCCTGAGCTCGGCCCCCTGATGTTTCACAAAATTACTGAACCCCATCATCACGCGCATACTTCTGCGACTCGGCCTCACTACTGGTCTCTCAGACGAGATTTATCGTGGACTTTATCGAATCGCTGGGATTCATAGTAAACAGGGAAAAATCGGCTCTCAAACCGATTACAAATTTATTACAGCTTTGTATTCCTGCACTACAGAATCCCTTTAAGGTGAATTTGGGCAAATGTAAGCCCAACTAGCCAAACTGGAAGCATAGCTAACTTGGGGTATTTTTCTAATTTGTCTGCTGATCTTCAATTGAAAAATTCACTTTAACTAACACAATCCAGCCCTATAGCTTTAGAAAATTTGTAATAAATAACATGGGGTTATAATAGTTTCCTGGCTAACAGGGTTATTCAATGAAGTGAGAATTTTCTGGAATTCAAAGTGAATTTAAAGGGACACTGTAGGCACCGAGACCACTTCAGCTTATTGAAGTGGTCTGGGTGCAGTGTCCATTTTGCACCCAGTGCTGCAATGTAAAACATTGCAGTTCAATAGAAACTGCAAAGATTACACTGCAGCTCTAAGTCTGCCCTCAGTGGCTGTCTAGAGGGCTTACTGCAGGGCTTACTATATGAGGACCTCCAGCATCAGATTTACCGGATAGAGGGGGGTGCGGCAGAGGGGGAGAGAGTGGGGGAAATAGTGCCAGAAATACAGCTTTGTATTCCTGCACTACAGAATCCCTTTATGGTGAATTTGGGCAAACTGGAAGCATAGCTAACTTGGAGTATTTTTCTAATTTGTCTGCTGACCTTCAATTGAAAAATTCACTTTAACTGTTCTTTGAATTCCCAACAATTCTCACTTTAGTAAATAACCCTGTATGTCTCATTCAATAAGAGACACTTCCCTAATCCTAAAATAAAATATTGTGCATACTAAGCATACCATGCCATTAAAAAAAAAATAATCATAAAATCATAGAGATTGTCAACTTTGTCAATTTAAGCTCTGGACATATTCCTGAAATTCCCCAGAAACAGTGGGAAATATTGTCAATGATTACATCAGTTGGTATTTATATTTTTATTATCATAATGTTAACCCTTTGTTGCCAGAAGCAAAGAAAAATAAAAAAAAGACTTCAAAATAAAATAATGGTGACCGGTCCCTGTACATATTATTTGGTTGTAGCAGTTCGTATGATATGATGGCAGACAGAAGAGACAGTGGGAAGGCATCTCAAGGCATTCTTACTTGCAACCACACTCATCAACTACCATGTCTTCATAGTGTCTCAGCACTACATTGTCGTTGTTGTCATAATACAGCATTGAGATGGGCGATAGCTTTATTGGGGCACAGCTAGGTAAGGGAGTGGATTCTGGCTCTGTAGAGTGAACTAGTGTCTGCAACACAGCATGGTTGGTGCCTTTGAGCAATTCTGTCAGTGGGTATGGGCATTCTCCATGACAATAATTGGCCATGTAACCTCGGGGTGCAATAACCCAGTTGTGCCACCCCACATCCCTAAAGTCAATATACAGGTTTCTCTTCTTACAGATGTTGCTGGGGGTCAGCTGGGTCGTTGCAGAACTCCTCTTAACTCGAGAAGTTTTGCAGCTAGATGGGTCAAGGGAGACTGTGAGTAAAGATATGTGAATGAAAGAGTGAATTTGGTCACATTGGGATGATGAACTGTTGGATGTTGTGGTTATTTCCAAAACAAGTCCCATGTTCTTCTCCATGTTAGTCCAATCTTGTGCCATTTTTGTTAGATTGAAATACAGAGATTTATGAAGCAATCTAAAAGACTGGGCCACAATAAGTTTCTGGCTTTTCTTATGTTGTCGCATACCTTCTAGGGACATTTGTAAAATGCGGAACAGACGTAACTGGAACTCCTGACCATAATACACATTGTGCCTGAACTTGATCTCCAATTGACCCAGGGTTATTTGTTCTTGTTTTTCCACAGCTGAGAGGTCAAAGAACAGATGTTTCCTTAAGCACAATGACCCCTGTTGGAACTCACTGGTTATTAGCGGTCCTGGAATAAAAAGAAAGTATGAATGTAGGTGGAATACAGAAAGGTGATAATGCTCAAACTCTCCGGGAACAAATATATACTAATTAGAGAAGTTGAAATGGAGGTTAAAACTTTTGAAGCATTGCTGGTTGTATAGTTAAATAGTGGTTTAAAATAAAATACATAAATGTATTTTCCTATATAAACTAAATTTTATAAATTAATAAAATGCCCATGGTAAGTAATGAGCACAAAGCAATATTGTTCCCACTCTCATCCATGACCAAGAGACAAGAAAAAAAAATGACAAATAATGATCAAATATATTCAATAACCATATGGAACATTTTACATTTAAATGTGTTAATATTCAAAAATGAACTATGTAGTAATCTCGCTGGTGGGTAAAGGTCGGGGAACACAAGGGTTAGTGCTAACCCCAAGCGTCCTGTGTCCAGATATAAAAAAATTTAAATGAATGAAAATTAACCTAGCATTACATTTTCTACATCCCAAAAGTTCTACCTCTCTGTAGCTAAAACCTAGAAGAAATCATAGGATTCTATATACTAAGGTCCGACTGGTTGACTTAAAAAAAATTCAAGCGAAATTGGTATCTTAGAGAAAATCTCCATATTGATTATTGACAACTGGGTTCAATTTAACAAAATAGCCAATGTGTGTTACAAATACAGTAACTATGCACAAATCAGTAAAAATAGAGCTAGGTCGTTCTTTGTGATTATGAAGTCACGTAGTCCTGAAGTTCCAACTTGAGCAGATGTACAAAGAAAACAACTGTTGGCTGTGTTGAACTGCCAGAAGACAAATTGTTATAAATAAAATAAAGGTACATTTAAAAAAAAATAGCATGGGAGTCCATGACACAAAAAGGAGCCAATTATATTATGTTTTACACCAGGAATGACAGTGTGGAACTGAAAAAAAAGTAGTGGTCCCCAAGCTCACTACAAAACGGAGGAATACTGGGACATGATTGCCCTATTCCAATTTAATAGTAAATAAAGGTAATGTAATGGGGGGTAACCCCTAGTGAGACTAGTCACTATGGAATAAGTGAGAAAAAAGAGAACTGCCAGAAGAGCGCGAAGAATAATAACTGTATCGCTGGTAGAGTGGCAAATATTAGGCTAGGTATTTCTAAAAATAAAATGTAACTTTTAATATAGCGATTAAGAGGTGAAACAAGTCACCACAGCAAAAGGAAAAGGAAAACGAAATTCAAACAGAAATAATAACTTTTGATCCAATTAGCAAGATATAGACGCAGGGATAGGCAACCTTCGGCACCCCAGATGTTGTGGACTACATCCCCCATAATGCTTTTACACCCATAATGCTGACAAAGCATCATGGGAGGTATAGTCCAAAACATCTGGAGTGCTGAAGGTTGCCAATGCCTGATATAGAGAGATGTTTAGATTCCTGTTACAAAAATTCACTCCAGCGTCAGAATGTTAATGGAGGCTAGCTAATAGAAGTGATATGTCATTTATATTTAACCACTTAGATATGTTAGCAGTTTTTACTCAAATAGTTAATACTATTATGCTGAGAGAGACACCAGTATCTGAATATAGATTGAGGCTAGCTAATAAGGATAGGTCAGACTCATTGGTATTTACCTACTTCAATAAAATGATTAGCAATTTTCCTCAAGTAGTTAATACTATTATACTGATAGAAAAGCCATAGTTGAAGGAAAAGCCTCTCTCCCTGTTAAACTTGCTAGACAGTCAGAGTATGAACTAGAAAAAAAGGAAAAATAATAAAGTGCTAATTAAAATATTCCATGCTTAAGTGTGCATGGTACAGTTCACAAACGTGATAGTATGTGCCCTGTGAAGTGAGAGAAATTGCCAGACGCAAGTTTCGGTACACTGTGTGTGCACCTTCGTCACACGCCGTGCACCAAAATGGGGTAGGGGGTGCTGGGGCAGAGGGTGGTAGGGGGACTGTGACAGGGCAGGGGGGTTGGGAGGTAGAGGGCAGTAGGAGGGCCTTGACAGGGTAGGGGGTGGTAGGAGAGCAATGACAGGGTAGGGAGTTGTAGGGGGGCAGAGGGTGGTAGGGTGGCTGGGGCAGGGGTGATAGGGGGCAGTGACAGGGCAGAGGGTGGTAGGGGACAGTGACAGGGTAGAGGGTGGTAGAAGGGCAGTGACAGGGTAGGGATGGTAGGGGGCAGAAGGAGGTAGGGGCTGAGGGTGGTGGGTGGCTGGGTCACAGGGTCGTAGGGAGGCAGTGACAGGGTAGGGGGTTAAGGGGGCAGGGAGTGGTGATTGGTCAGTTTGAATATTGGAGCACCAATGGGGTGCCAGGAAAGATTAAAAAAAAAAAAAACATTTCTGAGCCCATTAACCATTTAAGGTATAACTAGGAAGAAAGGTTTGTTTTATTAACCCCTGAAGGTATGGGACTATAAAGAAGTTGATGCTCAGAAAGAATTTTCACAATTAGCCTTGTGACAAGGGGTGTATTTAGTAGCAAGTGAATACTTTAATTAGATAAAGGTCTATGAATGTTATCTTGATGTTGTAAGATAAACTGTTCATTTGTAAAGTAGTGAAAATAAGCTGATGTTAGAGAAATCAAGGAATGAAAAAGGTAAAAAATAATAACTAATAAGAATGACCACAACTACCTAAGTTATATGAAAATAAATAAAGATCAGTATGTTTGCCAAAAGGAGAGGCATATGAGAATATATGAAGAAGAGATTAGATGAGCTAGGACTACAGAATAATATGGGAATATATAGATAATGGCCATAAGAAATGTAGTAAAATAAACTTCCCGGATTTGGTGGCCAATGAGTATTTGAATTGTAAATTAAATTTTTAAAGGTAAGTAATTGAAACTGCTATTGATGATAATAAAGTATGAGTAGACATACATAGTGGTTAGTGGATAAATGGGGTGAAATTAAATTCTTCATTAAGTCCTTTCGGTGACATGGTCTGGAACTCATAAATCCATATGGACTCTCTTTTAAGTAATTTGATGTTAAAATCACCTTTCCTTGTGTTCACTGTGATTTTTTTCAATCACTTGGAATTTTAAATGAGTTGGATCACCGTTATGCTGGGTGCGGATATGGTTGGCTATAGGAGTGGAAGTGTTAAGGTTGGTGACTGAGTTTACATGTTGTAGAATTCTTCTCCTTAGTTGCTGGTAAGTTTTGCCTATGTATTGTAAATTGCAGGTTTTAACGTAGACCACTTTGGTGGTGCTGCAATTGATACAATCTTTAACTGGATAACACTTCTTAGATCTGCTACAAGTGACAGTTTTGGAGGGTAGTAAGAATTTACATGTTTTACATGATCCACACTTAAAAATTCCTTTTGTCTGTGAAAGCCAGCTGGGATGGATGATTGGTGGTTCCAAGTGACTGTGAACCAGTATGTCTCTTAGGTTACTCGGTCGGAGTGTGGATAGGCTAATTGGTTGATATTTGCCCCTCTACCAGCGATACAGTTATTATTTCTCGCTCTTTCCTGGCAGTTCTCTTCCCACCTCCTCCCCCCCCATTCCAATTTCAAGCAAGTGGTTATGAGAAAATAAAACAGTATAGATAGTGTGTAAATTTAAGAATCATGGGGAGGAATACACAGTTTTCCCTATATGAAATTATGGACCATCAAAACTCTTAGCTCTTACATCCATGTTTCAGGGATTCACATATGAGTAAATTCCAAAATTTAAAGATTCCATCTACTTAGCCTGGCTCTCACTTTTTCTGAGTTGATTTTTCTTTTGTAAATTAGCTGTTTTGGCCTAAATTTTGCAATTCACTGTTTAGTGCATCAACCTTATAATTCACAGGCTCCACCGTACCTGCTCAAAACTAAAACCTAGTTTACTGTACTTTATAGGAAGAAGGAGAGAAACAAGAAGGATGTACCCTTCAGCAGCAAGCAAGATTAGTGAACTTGTGAATAGCAGACAAATTCTGTTTGTGAGAATCTATTCATTAATGGGACACTATAGTCACCTGAACAACTTTAGCTTAATGAAGCAGTCTTGGTGTATAGAACATGCCGCTGTAGCCTCACTGCTCAATCTTCTGCCATTTAGTAGTTAAATCCCTTTGTTTATGAACCCTAGTCACACCTACCTGCATGTGACTTGCACAGCCTTCCATAAACACTTCCTGTAAAGAGAGCCCTATTTAGGCTTTCTTTATTGCAAGTTCTGTTTAATTAGGATTTTCTTATCCCCTGCTATGTTAATAGCTTGCTAGACCCTGCAAGAGCCTCCTCTATGTCATTAAAGTTCAATTTAGAGATTGAGATACAATTATTTAAGGTAAATTACATCTGTTTGATTGTGAAACCAGTTTTTGTTTTCATGCAGGCTCTGTCAATCATAGCCAGGGGAGGTGTGGCTAGGGCTGCATAAACAGAAACAAAGTGATTTAACTCCTAAATGACAGTGAATTTAGCAGTGAAAATGCAAGGGAATGATCTATACACGAAAACTGCTTTATTTAGCTAAAGTAATTTAGGTGACTATAGTGTTCCTTTAACAAAAATGTTTCAAGTGATTTCCATGTGGTGTTTTGTTTCAGAAAAATGTTCTCCATGCAATCGTTTTGAGAAATTATTTGGATGAACCATAATGGGGTGAAAATTGGCTGATCAGTGTACTGCAAAATATATATATTATTTATATCATTTAATATCAGTTAATTTACAGATCAAGTGTAAAGATGTAACCAAACAAGAAAAAAGAGAAGGCGCAGTAAAAAAAAAATCAAAAAAATCTATATTTATATATTATATATTTATTAAGTATCTAATATATAAATATATACATTTATTGTTTACTGCTATTTTGGCCTTTATTGGTAATTTCTC